AAAAATGAGGACCTAATGTCGGGGGTTTAAGTGGAGAGAAAATGTTTTGAGAATGAAGTACAAATGCGCTTTACACAATTGATGTGTGTATGGATTATGATAAAACATGTATGAGCCCCTAATAAAATGTTTTTTTTTAAAAATCTACTTGCTTTCCTCTCCATGCCGAAGTTCTGTAACTGTACTATTTCCTCATTTTTTGTTGTAATTGTATTTATTCAGTGGTGGGATTAAAATAATTTCACAACTGGTTCACTGCCCTAATTGCCATTTTAAACATAAGAAAAGATACATTGCTTCCTGATTGATGTCTTCCTTTGAAATATTCTTCACTTTTATCTTAGCATCATCAGCTGTGTGATTTATCCCAAACCATCTTTTCACTGTAGTAGGATCCCATTCCTTTACAGGCAGACCAATTAGACAATAGTCATTGTGTTTGATATATAAGAAACAGCTAGGCGACTTCCCTTCTCTGAACATATGTTCATCTTCATTATGTTCTTCTCTCAATATATTATGATCTGCTTCTGCTGAATTTACAACCATTGTTCTGACAATATTTGTAGCCCTTTGAACACTTTCAGGAATTGCATAATTCATTCATAATCTCTTGGAAATTTTGGGTGTAACACAAAACTGAAACAAATGATAGTATGTCACCCTCTGGTTGTTTGACATTTTTTCTCTTTACATTATATGTTTGTTTTCTGAAACAATAAACAGGGAATAAAAATGTAGTATTTCATCAACTATATTACAAGTTTTAGGAAACTAATAAATATTACAAGCATAGTTCCGAATGAACATTACTATGGGTGCTAATACACTGAGGCAGATGAATGTGGGGGAAAAAAGTAGTGTAAATTTGTGATTTCCACATTAATCAGCTGCCCAGAGAATCCTGATTACAAGTTCCATTTTAACAGAGGTTCACCAAGCTCAACAAAAGTAGGTGTGGGTTCTGCCAAACCAGCTGAGTCCCACTACTGCCTTTATTACAAACTGCTCTCTGGTTCACGATTTTCAATCTTAATTGCTTTACTTTGGATGATTCTACATCTGAGTTAGTTTCTGAGTTGATCTCAGGTTGATGTCTGTTCTCTGTTCAAAGAACTCCCCTTAGTATTTCTTTTGAGGTTAGTCTGATTTTATCACATTCCTTTAGTTAAAACATATATATATAACTATATATGTATAACTATATAAATAATTACATTCCTTTCATTTTAGTTTATCTGGAAACATCCCAACTTCACCATGGTATTTGAGTGGCGGTTTGGCTGAGTGTATGATTCCTTTTTCTTTTTTAAGGATCATTTTTTGAAGCACGGAGTGTAGCAACTAGAAAAAAAGCTTACTTGGGGAAAGAAGAGCTGATACCAAGGGCTCAATAGAAAGTAACTGTCTAGAAAAGAGTGATGGTAACATGTACAAATATGCCTGATACAGTCGCTATATGGATTGTAATAGCATTGTAAGAGCTCTCAATAAAATGACTGAAAAGAAAAAAAGTTTTAAGAGAAGATCTAATAATCAGGCAATAATCAGATCCAATAATCCAGCCAGTGCAGGAAAATGTATGTCAACACAACAGGTGCAAAGTCCAGAATAGACAATCATATATAATCAAGGTAATGTCAAATGAGTGGTGGAATTATAGGTATTTATTGGATGGGGTAAGATATGGCAAAAAATGTATTATAATAAGGGCTCATGGTGGCAGGGTGGGGGAGGGAGGGAATAAAGGGGAGCTGATATCAAGGAGTTCAAGAAAGAAAATGTTTGTGGTAGCAACTGTACAAGTAGGCTTGACTTAATTGAACTATGAATTGTTGTAGCTGTGCGAGTGTATACATATTTTTTCCTTCGGGAGCTTTATGTTATCCCATTACCTTCTTGGTTGCGTGGTGTTGCCTGAGAAGTCAGAGCCTACTCTTACTGATTTTTTCTTTGTAAATAACTAGTTTTCTTGGGCTGCTCTTAGGATTGTTTCCTTGCCTTTGGTTTTGAAATTTGACTATGTCACAGTGATTTTCTTTTGGTTTCTCTCCTGTTTGAGCTTTGTTCAGCTTCTTGAATGTGTTTTCTCCTGACCTCTTATGTCAAGGAAGTTTTCTTCCAACAATACTTTGGCAATTTTGCTCTCTTCCTGTTCTACAATTACATGTTATTTCTCTTGACTGTGTTCCACAAAATTCTTGGGCTTTCTTCAATTCATTTTTCTGATTGTTCCTCTAGCAGTTTAATATTGAGAGATTTGTCTTCCAATTCACTAGTTCAGCCTTCATTAAATTCTTTTCCAAATATATTACCCATTTCTGAAATCGTGTTAATTTTATGGATTTTTATTTGCTATTTGTAGAGTTTAAATTGTTCTATGCATTTTGTCAGGCTTCTCTTGTAATGTTTTCCTGAATTCTTCTAATTTTTACGTGTGTGTGTTTGGCTGGCTTTCATCAATCTCTGAATCCCTTTAATGGCACTGGATTTGGTTTCTGACAACCACTAAGTTCTCAAGTTACTATCAAGGGGCTGCCAGTGAGTTTTCAGACAACTGGATGACCTAGTTTCAACCCTTTACACCCACTACCCGTTAGCCCTCTCAGCATCACTCATGGCGGCTGCGCCTACTTGGAGAACTATTCACAATAGTCAACAGAGGTGGAAACCTAAATGCTCATTACTCGATGAATAAACAAAGTGGGCACTTACAATGGGACAGGACTTAGCCAGTAGAAAACGTCCTGAAAAGGTTCAGTATGGATGGAGTGTGAAAACATTATGCTGAAGAACTGCACCAAGGACTAGAGGAGAAATAGTGCACGTAAAGGGGCAGGTGTGGAGAGGCCTAAGTGCATTCGTGGTTCCCAGGGGTGCGGGGAGAAGGCTAGGAGATATTGGTCTCCCACTGATTAAGGTGGGGTTGCACAGTCGCCTATTGTTACTACTGTCAAAAGTTGGAGAGTTAAGATAGATGTTATCTTTCACACGCAACCATCACACACGCACAAGCTGTTAAGACTGTTTATGTACCACCAAACACCTTGTGGTATTTGGTCCACTGGATTGGAAGCGTAAGTTCTTGGTTTCAAGGGGCATCCCTGTTAATTGGCCTAATAATGTGTAGTCCTTCCGTTCTACCTAATTCATTGTGCTTAGGGTCTTAAAGGTTTCAAAGCAGCCACCCAAGGCACAATGGGCTCTATTCATGTGGAACGAGAGAGGAAGGGCAATTGGGAATCGGATATGGAATGCGTGGCTAATTGCACAGACAAACAAAATGGCCTCGTCTGTGAAACCCTAAGAACTGTCCAAATACAGTCTTCTAAATTGGTTCAGTCAAAAGCTCATGAGCTATTCTTTTACAATCAGACTAAGTATAACGAAGTTTTCAAACTGTGAAGGAGAGCAAGTGTGTGCATTGGGTGTGGGGTGACTGACATGGGTAGTTGGGCACGTGTGTGACAAATACTGCTGAGCATTTTCTCCAGGTGTATGAGCTACAGTCCCCACTGCCACCAGTTGCCTCCAGCCTCGTGTCCTTGAGGAGCTGTCCTCCAGGGTAGCTCTTTTTACAGGGCAGAAGAGTCCGTGACACACCCCTCCCAAGCTGAGAAGTGCAGCCCACCAGTGCCGACAGACCAGAGGAAGAAGAGTATTGCCTTCCTACTTCAGGTGTACTTCCCATAGATTCTCCAGGTTCCTAGACACTTCCTGGTGGCCATTTCTAGGGACCAGGGATCTGGTGAATACCAATAGTCTCAGACCAGTCCCTGTTAACCCAAGACAGCGCTGTACAAACATGCTCATAGTTATGGGTCTAAAGAGCCTTCTCACCCTACCTTGAGCCATAGTTTATCCCATCTTTAAGACCGGCCCTCCTCAACTCTGGCCCAAGCAGTTACCCACATCTTGTGTATTCACACACACTCCTCTCCCAACCAAGTCCCACCACACTCACTCAGGGTGCATCTAAGCTCAATACCTATAAGCCATGGGGACAGATCCTCCTGAGCAGCCCTCAATGGAAGATTACTGGTGACCTGAGCACTCTTGCTATACCTAGACCTATCCCCAAATTCAAATCCAAGGCTCTCCAAGAGATTCCTACCTTTGTTACAGCCCCCACACCTCCCAGGTGTGTAGTTGAAGACCTGCTGGCTGACCGGCCCATGGCTGGCACTTAATGAGAAATGACCCAGTTTTTAATCAAAGGAAGGAACCTCTTCTTGTAACAATGAACCCATAGAGCTGGAAAGAAGCCTTGAGGATAGGGGTGAAGAGGTTAGAGTAGGTGGTGAGCACATCCCTACTTTACTCCCTTGTACTTGAACTTCTGGGCAGGCCATGGCCCATACTGCTCTCCAGGCTTTTGTTGCTGTGAATTCCAGTATCTAGGCCTCTAGGTCCCAAAATCACTACTGTATCTCCCATCCCTCCCAGAGCAAGACCACACAAGTCATTCATGTGTACCTGAAGTTCAATAAGCTCTCATCTAGGTTTTATGGCCAAAGAAGGGGAGGAAACATTGAGACCAGGTAAGAATTAGGGTTTAAGAGGTTAGTACCATTAATACAACCCCTGCCCACCCTGGGACCATGAACCCCAGATCCTGAGACTAACACACAACTTAGGGGGTTACTGAGGCTGAGAACCCATTCAAATGCTTTTACATCACCTGGCTCTGGGGATTATTTTTAGGAAGGAATAGGGAAAGAACACCAGCTTCTTTACCCTCAATGAATTCAATCTGTTTCCACACCCCCGTCTTGTCTCTCCCCTCCTCTCACTCTATCAACCGTCCATTCTCAATTTCTCTCTACAATGCTTGCTTGCTTTACAGAGCAACTGCACTTCAGCAGATCACCATTCTGAAGACAGACGCAAGCAAACCCCAACACTATTCTTAAGTCTGAAAGGCAGACACACACTTTGAGATTTTAAAGGAATTTATATAAAAATAGTTAACCTACAATGCTTTTACCACCTGAAACTAACTGCATAATATACAACAAATTGGACATGTGTGAAATCTCTGTAATTTTTTTAAGAAACCACCACCTTGGTCCAGGTTTTTTAGAAGACAGACAATATTCCTTTGAATAAAATGGAAATATTCTCATAGGCACAACTTAATTTAAGTGAAGTCATATCCTTTTTTTGGCTGCAGAGTCAGATCAATGGTATGCACACACACGTGTCTTCCTTGAGACCCGGGCAGGGTACCCCCTCGGGATCTCTGCCCATGACCTGTGACTGGGATTCTGAGGGAGGGGGTTCTTTCCAGGTGACCGAGGAAGGTGGGAGGAGGGTGCAGTCTTCATGCCAGGAGCCAGGGTGGAAAATGAGGCCGAAATTGTGGCTGTGCCCTGGTGTGTCCCTAACGGCCAAAGGTAGGGCACAGTCCCCAGGCCTAACATGGCAGCCTTCCCACCCACCAGCGTTTGTATTTCTGAGACACACAAGCACACCACAAACCCCGGCCTTCCAGACCATACCCACCCCAGGAAGTGATCGTGGAAGCGGTCTTAACCCCTTCTGAACAACACCTGAAACCTGTTCTCCAGGATTTGGGGCACAGGGGACCCCAGAAGGGAAAGGCAGTGATGGGGTGAAGTGGAAGGCAGGCAGAGCCCAGAGGCTAGCTGCCTGAGGAGGCACAGACGGTGAATAAATACACGTGATGGGGCGGGGCCGGCCCGGCGGACAGGAGCTCAGTGGGAAGTGAGAGGACACCGTGGGACAGAAGCATGCATGGCAGCCCCGCCCACCCTGACACAATGCTCCAAAACTAACCTGGGGCCACCCAAATGGCCCACACACAGCACAGACACACACACACACACACACACACACACACACAACCCCAGGTCGGGCACCAGGCCCCTGCTCAGAGCTCTGTAATGTGCATGGCAGGTGACGGAAGGGAGCCAGGCCGGAGGCGCCGAAGATGGCAGCAGCGACACAGCAGGTGGCCATCCAGTGGGTAGCAGCGATGTCCGTCCTCCCCACTCAGCTGCAGGCCACAGTCCTATGGAAGAACACAGCACAGAACCCAGGGTCAGGGGAGGTGTTTCGTATTAGCACAAGCAGAAAGGATGGGTGGGAAAACTAGAGTATCTACACAGGGGATTTGAGGTAAGATATTGAGGGAGGAGGTTGTTGTGGATTGAGTTGTGTGCCCCCAATTCTTAACTGCACTATGATTCTCAGTATCATGTAATTATCCTCCATTCCGTGATCTGATTATCCCATGTGTTATAAATCCTAACATCTCTGATGTAAATACATCAGGATTAGAGCCAATTAAATTAATGAGGCAAGATTCAATTTACATAATTACAATGTATCTTTAAGTCAATTTCTTTTACTTAAGAGATTAAATGAGATCAGAGTGGCCTTAGCAATAGCAAAGAAGACCTAGGGTAGAACTTGTCCTGTGATCCCAGGTCCCCTGTGCTGAGAACCTGCTTGACTCAGGGGGAAACTGATGGCAAACACAAGGGACACTGGGCCCACAGACATTAACAGGAGACAGGGACTTTCCCCAAGTAGTTCCTTAGAAACAAGCCCTGAATTTGGATCTGTAACAGAATAAATTTGTCGGTATTTTTGTCACAGCAGCACTAGCTATCTAACGCAGGGGTAATTGAATACAAGGGTGGCGAGAGAGCTGCAGGAACATCTGAATGTCACAACACTAACAGTCTTTAAAGACAAAGGGAAAAAACAAAGCATTTCCTAGAATAAAGCTAACTGGAAAAGAGAAAATTCAGAAGAACTGAGCCTTGGAGAGTTCATCAGACATTAAAAGATGGAAAGAAAAGGGAAAAGTGAGCAAACGAGGGGAAAATTAAAATGGCGAATTAAAAGTGGGTTGTTCTAAAGGTGAAGTCAGGAAAGCTTGTCACAGAGGAACAGCCCGCTTGGGGGAAAGCTGAGTGAACGGGAAGGTAACAACTGAGAACTGTCATGGAATCTGCCACAGGGGATATGGTGAACTTGGCAAGTGCTGAGGCAAATACTTGACCAGAGAGGCCGTAGGAAATAATGGGAAGAGCGGAATTAAAGGCATCAAGTTTACAGAAGCTTTGCTTTATGGCCCTCATCTTGCCCCTTTACTATTACCACAGTTTTTATTAGTTAATTTTCTGTGTTCAAAACATGATTTATCCTTCCATGACCTTTGTAAATAACTGACAGAACACGTGAAGGGCAGCCCTAGAAGACATGCCGTCAAAGTCAGTGGGCACCTAGCAAGACCAGCTGGACTGCTTTTTCCGTCCTTCCTTCTGGATGCCCATTCCCTCAAGGTGGTTCTTTGATCACATTCACTGAATCCATGGCTGAATTTTCCTTTGCACCTTTAATACTTGTTGGCCAAAGACAATGAGACCAATACTTTCCCCACTCTTCGCAGGTAAGAAAGGGGAATCATGGCTTCGTGTCCATCCACAGACCACTGACAGATAACCACAACACACCAGAGAGGGAAGGGTGGAAGGGCTTGTAGATTCCAATTCCCACCCAACAGCTCCCTGGAACCTGTGAGACCAGGTGACATAGTCTCACAGGTACACAGGCCACCTGGTTTCACACCTCAGAAGGTGGTTGCTCACAAGCACTGTCCGGGATGGAGTTTCCTCAAGGAGCCAGTTTCCTTTTCTGGATCAGCCACGAGCAGCTTGAAGACATGCTCTATGATTTTCAACATCAACTCTTCACTAAGCATCAAGTTCAGAAATCCCAAGGGAAAACTGAAGTTCCCCAGGACAATATGATGCCTGCAGGGCAGGCACAGTTAATACATCTGATAGCTTGTTACTGTCTTTACCACCCACTCATCGTGTCCCAGGGAATCTTGGCCCCTTGCAGACCAGGCCTGCTCCTGGCTCCTTTGGTCCCAGCAGGATTTCCCACGGGACCACTGGACTCCTCCCTGAGGGATCCATGATTTCTACTGAATATTCCTCACGGGTGTGCCCTCCTGTTCTTCTCGGGGTTTCTAATCACACAAGCTCTTCTTGGAACAGTCCTCCTCTTTCCTGTTCACTCCTTCTCAGCCTCCATTTACAGCTGCTTTACCTCGAGGCAGCCCTTAAAGACTGGTGCTGCGCACTGTCCTGAGCCCCAAGTCCTTCCTCTCTACATAACTCTCCAAGGAGAGGTCGCTCCTGACGCTCACTTCTAAGGAGCATGCTGGTGGTACGTACTTCAAGACAGATTTGTTTGTTCTTCTGGCAGTCTAGCCTTCTGGTACTTTTTAATACTCTTCATCAACACCATAATTCAAATGCATCAACTCCTGTCTGGTCTTCCTGATGCATTGGCCTGCTTCCACATGCATGAGATGACTGATATAATGGCCAGCCGGGGTCCTTCTTGAAGAGCCCTGCTCTTCAAGACTTTAAAGAGATCTTGCACACAGATCTGCCCGATGTAATTCATCATTTGAGTACTTCACCCTTGGAAGTACCCAGTCACAGCGCAGTGTTCCCCCTCGAGTTGAGAATTCAAGGCCAGTGGAAGTTACGAGGCAGATTATCAAAGTGGAGAAAGCCAGGTGCCAATGACTCCCAAATTTCAACAATAACCTCCCAGGTGCTTTGAGCTGTAGAACACCTACCTACCTACTGGAGATCGACGTGTGTGTCTTTCCAGCTACAGAAAAGAACACCTAGGACCCTCCTCCTTTTGTCCTGCCTCCCAACCTCAAACCCCCTATCCAGTCATTTCCCAGCAAATCCAGTCCCTTCTACTGTCTCAGCAGCAATCAAATCGATCGACTTTTCTGGACACAGGACCACAAGCCTGACTCAGCCTGTCATCCCTGGTCCATGCAGAACCTGTATCATTTTCTGTACCTTCTCAGGGCCCCCACCCCCACATGCTCTTCCTCCAAACATTCTCTACATTGGTAATAAGTGCCCTTTCTAAAATCCAAAAGCAACCTGGTCGTCCTTTTAAATTATTCTCCAGTTTCCTAAGGTTGAACCCACAAACCTTAGTTCACATGGTATTTTGCCACCAGCTCCTGCCAAATTCTCAGTCAACTTCCAATTGCACTACCTGGAAATACTCTAACTCAGTGGCTAGCTCCTCTTCCTCATCCTTCAATTCTTAGCTTGGGGAGTCTCTCCTTCAGGACGTTTTCTGACTTTCTATGCCAGGGAGGGGGTGTCCCCGACCACCCACCTTCCAAGAGGGCCCAGGCTCACCTCACAGTGATAACATTCCACATGGTAGTCTCTGTCCATGGAGACCACACGAATGGTTGTCTCACAGCCCTGCGGAAAGAGACAGGATTTACTAGGGCTGAAAGCAAATTCTGCTATGGAGCACACATCTACGGAACCTAGCATGCCTTTGGTGGATGGATGTAGATTCGTTCCTGTGTGAGCAATGACACCAGGGGATCCATGGGGGCTAAACCAGCTATCAGTGGGTTCCCAAGAATGGCTATGCATGCACCTTCTGCATCCTCACTGCAACCAAGAGCACACACAGGTGCCAAGTGACAGCTGTCATGAATGTGAATGTGGGGGAACAGGTCTGCGTGCCATTTTCACTTCTCTGGAGTCAGGAAAGATCACTGCTGGCCCAGCTTCCCCAGGCATACACACCTGGGGTAAAACAAGCACACAGAGGATGACCCGGGGGTCTTTACTCTGCACAATTCACATCCTTCTCTCTTCTGCTGCCCCACAGACCTCAGCTGGCAGAGCTGATCGGACCCCGCGAGCAGCCCTTATGTCAATGGAGATGGAACTGAGAGAGTCAGCGGGGAAGCCAAGCAGCAGGGGTTACCATTTTCTTCTAACTTCTACCACAACTGCATGCAAGGGCCCAACACACATCCCTCGCCCCTGAAGGATGCAGGGCAGGAGAATGTGCTCATCCCTCCCACTGTGGCTCCACACCTGGGACAGACCCAAACAGGCCTGAGCAGATGCTGGGCTGGACCAGGAGCCTAAACATCTCCAGGTGAGTGGTTCCTACCTGTGCAGGGAGGATAGGACGGGCACAGGAGGCACATTTTGGTGCAAAAACCCTGGAGGAATAAAGGAAACCAGAAGTCACCAGCTGAGTGACCTGAAGGCAAGGGCACAAGGACATCATGTCCACCCGCAAAATGACCCAAGCATCCAATCTTACTTTGGGGTCAGAACAGCTTCTGTCATGTCTTCTTAGCACTAGCCTTTTTATCTGGCTCTCCAATTCGCCTTCACCTTATCACCATTGGCAGGATAGTTCTGTCCTCTCCCAACTGCTTCCTGGGTTTTCCTGCCCCCTCCCTGACTACCTATCCCACACATAGCATAGGATAGGAGCTCTAAGGGGAGGACCTAGAGCCACAAGGGGAATGGTGGCATGGCCAGCCCCAGGGGTAAAAAGAGGCAGGCTCTGCAGTGATCCAAGACTGTCTTCCCAGGTAGAAGAAGCCTTGCCTGCTCCTGGGAGCAGAGGGATGGATGCTGGCTGGCAACTAGCAGAGTCCTCGCCACTAAGAGAAGTGGAGCATGGAGGGTAAGGCAGAGGGAGGACAGAGATGACCGGTGGCTGGATCACAGGAGAGAGAATCCAAGGCATGCCCTGCCTCAATCACAGAGCGATCACAAGGAGAGCCCAGAAGCGGCTCCATTTGTGCCGTCTATGAAAAGGCCAAGAACAGCGGAGCATAGGCAGGCAGGGTGGCCAGAAAAATTCTTCAAGGAGAGGCAGCATGAGTCCTGTCTGCTCCACAGTGCTGGCTACTCACGTGTGATAGTCTCTGACACAGTAGATGTTGTTCTCCATGTCCACGGTGAAGGGCACCCCGTCCAGGCACTCATTACACACAGAGCACCGGAAACAGCCTGGGTGGTAGGACTTCCCGAGGGCCTGGAGGATCTGAGGGTGGGAGGCACTGAAGGGTCAATGCAGGTGGAAGGCTAAGCACAGCCCCCAGAAGAGGGTCTGGTCTGAGCCCCTGGCAAGTCTGGAACAGGTGAAAGGATGGGGTCCTCAGAGTCCACCCTGGTCACAGGGGTGGGGGCTCCAGGAGTCTGGGGAGGGGGTCGGTTCTTACCATCTCCATGATGAGATGTCCACACACACTACACTTGTCAGCTGTTTGCTGGAACCCGGAGTACTGGGAGAGGACAGAAATCCAGGATGTGAGGTGACAAAGGGCCACTGATTCCCCAGAGAACATCTGCCTCCCGGCCGCCAATGTCCATGTGAATCAGAAGGAGGATCCCCCACCTTTGGGCCCCCTCCTGGCCGCAGTCAGGCACACAGCTTTAACTCACCAGGAAGTCCTCCTGGCAGTACACTTTCTCGCCCACATTGTAGAAGGCCTTCCCTCTGAGCCGTCTTCCTGAAAGACAAGCGTCAAGGTGGGGTCACTGGACTGCTGCAGACTCGGGATAGGGCGCCTTGATTTCATCTCTCAGCTCCTGCCTCCAGCATATGAGAAATGGGATCACAGGTGGATTCAAAATGTTCTTTTCAAGGTTTTACTATTGCTGTCATAAAAATGACGATTTCAGAAAAAAATATTAAACAGAATCTTGTCAGCAGAACTACTGTAAATGTATAAAGAACTACCTTTTAAATAGGAATCACCTTGATTAATAAAAAATACACCCACTTCAAGTTCAGTTGAATTCAGAGTCAAGTTCTCAGAATAAATTTCCTTATTCCACGATTACTGGAAGTACGATTTTGATCACATGAAGAGGCCCACTAGCAAACATCTGTCTTAAAAGAAGTGTGGCCAGTGCTCTTTCAAGGTAAAGACGGCAGGTGTCAGGAGAGACCAGTGCTTGGAGAACACCCCGCCTGGTGAAGTGGAAGGGCAGCAAGAGAGAGGAAGGGCTTCAGTGGGATGAAGGCTTGACACAGTGGCGGCAACAATGGGCTCAAGCAAAAGAACAGCTGGCCGATGGAGCGGGGCTGGGCGGCGTTTCTTTCTCCTGTGCACACGGCCCGACTGGGCAGAACCGACTAGCTAGCACTTACCAACAATACCGGGCAGCGGCGGTTTTTGCCTTCAAGGTAAGAGGTTGGATTCCTACTTAATGAACCTCATGCCCAACTCTGTTAATGAAGGCTTGCATGTTGCTATAACGTCGAACAGGTTTCAGCAGAGTTTCCAGACGAAGGCAGATGAGGACAAAAGATTTATTTCTTAATCTTCTTGTGAAAATCAGTCAAAGGAAACCCCCCTACAGATGACAACAATCCAATCTGCAAGTAATCATGGGGATGACACAGGGTTGGGTAACGCTTCATTTCACTGCATGGGGATGCTACGAGTCAAGTGCTGACTCAACTCACAGCTACAATATTACAAAGATGTCTTTGTCAAAACAAAAGCAACATCAGCCCTCACGGCAAGATGTTAGAGACATGACCATTACAATCTAGAGAAGAACTACAATGCCAAACTAGGAATGAGAAGGAATTTCCTCAACCTAACAAATGGTATCAATGAAAAACCTACTGACCACTTGTCTGTCAGCTGGTTGTACCATGGTGACTTTCGTGTTGCTGGGATATTGGAAGCTGTCATCAGTACAGTGAACCCTCGCCACTTCGCGCTTCGACTTCCGCGGCTTCACTCTATCACGGTTTTTGCGTAACAGCGCATGCTCTGTCATTACTGCCACTGATTGGCTTATACTGTACACGCTTCTGTCTGCATCGCTACGTATCAGAGCTACATATCAGATGCAGTTTTGCTTTTGTACAGTGTACTGTAATTGTTTGCAATTTTTAAGAAATTTTATCTAAGCCCTATGATGGCTCCTAAACAAGCTGCTTCTTCTAAGCCTTCTGACAATAAAAATAAGCGCCAGAGGAAGATGCTCACCATCCAGGAAAAGGTAAAACTT